TATATATATATATATATACACATATGTGGTTTTTAAATTGGTTTATAAAAATTCGCAATCTCTAACCTTTCATGCAGGCCCCCACCTTCACTTTTCACAGCACAGTTTTCAAACTTTTCCTTCTGTCCTTAAGCAGCCCTGGTGACATTAACAGTTAAGCGCCCAGCTGCTAACCAAGTTTGGTGGTTTGAAAGCAGTCAGCAGCTTCATGGGAGAAGGGGCTTGTAACCTAGGAGACCCAAGGGAAGTGGCACTCTGTCCCTTGGGGTTGCTATGAGTTGGAATAGACTCTACAACCCCTCAGCCACCACAACACCTCTCCTGGCATCTGACCTCACCGTCTTCGTCCTCATGGCTGACAGGGAGGAAAGGTAGCCTCCTACTTCACAGGGACTTGCCTGTTCCACCCCAAAAATGGATCTGCCTGTCTCCCTATCTGTGCTTCCCTCCTGCCCAAACAGGCACACTGTCCTCCTCAGGAGCAAACCTCATTTCTCCACTGATGCTCCTGAGCCACTGTAACACCGCCCCCCTCATCCCCCGTTAAAGAATGAGGTTTCATTAGTTATGAAGTGTCTCTCTCTCTTCACTTCTTCACTGCTGCTGGCTCTTCCCTACCAGCAATTAGTTTAAATTTAATTGTATCTCTCCCCAGCCCACCCCCTCGGAAAAAGAAAAGATTGAAGCACTCTCGAATATGACCTTGTTTAGAGCACTAAGAGCTCTATTTGCAGATGTTGTCTGTTGAATTAATGAGGTCAAACTGGAGTAGGGTAGGTCCCAATCCTAATCCTTTTTGAGCGGTGTCTTAAAAATGGGGACACTCAACTGGAAACGGGGTCCCATGGGGGAGAACACCACGTGAGACCCCATCTACAAGCCAAGGGATAGTCAGAAAAGCCATGGCCAGCATTACTAGAGGCAGATAAGAGACATGAAAGGACCTTCCATTAGAGCTCACTCCCTGAAGGCAAACTTCTGTCTCCAGAACTGCAAAATAATACATTTCTTTAAGCCACCCACTTTGTGGTATTTTGTTATGGTAGCCCTGGGAACACACTAATACAGCAATTAATCATTAACAAGCAAAAACCAACAAAAATCTTCACAAACCTCTATCACCCATCGGCCTATGGCTCACTTAACCCCCACACGTTGTTTCGGCTTGGTGCACAGGCAGGCTTCCAGACTGATGCTGCCTGCCCTTCTTTCCTCACCCTCCGCAATCCGCTTCCATCGCTGCCTTCCGGGGGCCTGCTTTCACCATCTTTCCCAGTGACCGCTCTTCTGCTGCACCCAGAGGACGTCCTGAAGTGTTCATCTTATGGAACCTCTTTGCACCACTGAAGACTGGTGACTCCCTCTCTGAGGTTGTGTTCTCAGTTTCTCGGCTTCTGTGTCACTTCTGAAGTCGCTCTCCTACCTGACCAGCTGGTTCTGGTTATCCTTTGGCTCATTTCTGAAACGATGGGAAGCTCTAAGGTCACTCTTCCTACTTTTCACTTGCTTCTTTGAATGATCTTATCCACATCCCTCATGCCTGTTGTTCTGTACCTTCATTCCCCAGAAAGTACGTACACGAGTACATTCTGACCCATAGGCACTCTATCACACACCTCCTTTTGAATATTCCACAGGCATCTTAAATTCAACAGGTTTAAAACCAGACCCCCAGCTCCTTTGATGTCTCCCACCCTGTCCGTGCATAATGATCTTCTAATATGTGCTGCTTATCCATGGCTGCCCAATACAGAAGCCAGCATGGTCCCTGAGTTCTCTTCCTTTTCCACTTCCGCAAGGAGGCCTACTGGCATAGTGGTTTATGTGTTGGGCTGATAACCGCAGGGTTAGCAGTTCAAATTCACCAGTCACTCAGGGGGAGAAATATGAGGCTTTCTACTCTTGTAAGGCGTTACAATCTCAGAAATCCATAAGGGCAGTTCTATCCTGTCCTATAGAGTCACCATGAGTCTGAATTGACTAATTGGCAGGGTTTGTTTGCTTGTTTGTCTGTTTGGGGGTGGGGGTCACTTCTTCTATCCAGTAAATAGCCAATTCCAACTGACTGTGATGTTTTTAATATAGCCAGTTCATCCATTCTTTTCCACTCCACTGCCATGCTGTTACAGTTGGGTACTGTGATTAGATCAGTCATTTGCCTGGAGCCTCACAAGGGTTTCCTGCATGGAACCTTGTTCTCCTTCCACTCGTTCACCCGATGGCAGGGTGTTATGTTCTCTAAAGCCAATTCTGAGAAAAGACCAAATTTCTTCTCATGGTACAAAAGGCTTGATCCGCCTTTTGATCAGATTACCCCTCTGATTTAAATTTATTTTACTAGTAGTCCCCAAAGCCTATACCTCACTCATACCAACTGCTTGCTGTCATTTAAATATGTGAGTGTCTATTTTTAGCTCTGAGTCTTGGCTCATTCTAATACTTTTCCCTAAATTAGAACATCTCTCTCTTTCTATGCTTGTATATCTTGCCAATTTCAATTTGCCTTCAAGATACACATCAGACCCTTTTAAAAAGACTCCCCAATCCTGGGCCAAGTGCTCACTGATGTGCCCTCCCACAGCACGCATCCTGCTGGGCTCTGATTCTCCCTCACGCTCAGAGAACTGTGGACAGCTTGGGGCTGGGACCGGGGCTTCCACCCCATTTTCTTCACAATGTCAGACACTTAGTACGTGATCAGTACATGTACATTTATTTAGAATAAGCTAGAAATTGTCATGTAGAATCTTGATTCCTGTCTTTTCTTTTTACCCCTTGTAATAGTTTACCAATGGTCTTTCGCATGATCACCCACAGGGTAAATAGTGTAAAAGACAAATTGAACTTAAACTGGTTTGAAACTCCAGCTACATGGATTTCTGGAAGAGTAAGATGGGTTGTTCTTTGACTTGCCAAATAAACCACTTCCCAACTATATCTGCTCAGTCCAGTCCCATCTGGCTGGGATGACAAAGAATGACAAATCCTTTCTTTTTTTAAACACCGAATCAGCCGTATTTCAATTTTACATGCTACATTACAATTTCATGATGATTATTGAAAAAGTACGAATATTTCCTTCATGGGTCTTAGTGAGCTGCAATGGCTAAATATACCCTTCCTATGAAAGTTATCAAGGAGAATGATTTTAAAATTTACCTTGTACCCCCCTTTTATTTATAAGTACTCAAGTGGTTGTGCTACAATATAGATGATATTGTTTGGGAAATATATTTACCATAGACCCACCTTCTCACTGAGGGAGGGGCAGAGGTGGCTGCATCTACCTCAAATTCCCCATAGCCAATCTGCCTATAACCCTTCTCCTACAGAAACCAGTATGTCCCCATAAATAAGCAGTACAGTGTTACATGGCGAAAGCACAGGCCATGCTTGGGAGTGGAGCGTGTGGGAGACAAGACTAAGTCAGCACTGGAAGGGAAAGAAAGCGTCAGGGATGAGAGCTATATAGAAGGGTCGGGAAATTACAGTTCACTCCTGTTCATGATTGTTAGAGGCACAAATCTTTTTCCTACCGCTCAGGTTTCAATCACGAGGGATTTTTTCCCCCTGCAAGCAACGCTCACCGTCTGCTCTACTTCTTATTGGTCCCCTCTGAGGAGGCCTGAATTACCTAGTGGATAGGTGACAGGCCCCGTGTTTCTAAATGGGAAAAGCTAAACCATCCAAGGTCCTGAATCCTGGGGAGAGTCTCTGTCTCCTTTCCTTTCTACCAGCATTTGGGAGACTGGTGCCTGGGTAAGAATGCTGACTTAAACGTTCTCCCAGATCTAGCCGTGGGGTGTTGAGAGCGTAGATGCCTATTTCAGTTATTACCCTGGCGAACCTGAATTGCTTGCCCAAAGGGGCTATCTTGTTTCTCTGCCCACAATTTGGTTTTGGTTTTTCACTGGCTCCAGGTGCAAGTGAGAAAGAGGAGCGTCATTCATTAAGTCCTCAAGACTCCACCAATTCCCCAAGCAACTCTGTTTGCACCCCAAAATGAGACATATTAACCACCCCCACAGGAATCACAAAAAGTAAATGATCTGGGGATTAAAAATAGAACAAACTAAAGGTTGTGAAAACTTTCATGCCCTAGAATATTCTACGAAAAAACTTACTGGTATGATTTTTTCAACATTTCATCACAATTTAGTTAGATTTAGGGGATTAGAAAGTTTTAATCAGAACTTGGGAAAAATGACAACTAACATTTATATATTGCCTCACACAAGTTCCAAAGTTCTTTCTCATTTGTTCCTTTCCTTGAGCCTCACAACCCACTAACTTTGGTAGGGTTGCAGCTGTGCGCAGCCCTTTCTTCCTCGTCTCAGAGTATCTGAGCAACAGAACATCCATCCAATCTGCCTAAGGTGACCTTTAAAAGAAAACACTTTAAATCAGCCGTTTATCAGCTTTGCACACATTCCAGCTTCATGATGATTATCTCTAAATTATGCTTGTAGTCTTTCTGGATCTCATTGAGCTGATCTGGTTAAATAAACCCTTCTAGTACAGGTTATCATCAAGGGGGGTGGTTTTAGAACGTTATCACTTGAGTTTAGTAATTTCTCTGTGGGCAATCGTCATCTGAATCCAAGAATACACACTGTGCCACTGTAGAAGCACAGTTGAAAGTAACAGTTCAACTGAGCATCTTATTACTAGGTTATATCCATCAAGCTAACTAGACCACGTAGCAGCTTTAAAAACTATAACATCAATTCACAGCCAAGGTTACTGAATGGCTGAGGTGTTTTGGTGCATGAATACTTCAAGCTTATTATAAATACCATAAGTCTGAAGGACTTGACATCTCTTATTAGTCACACTGGATTCTACTTAACTTCCAACCTCGATAGCCTTATGCATTTTAAATATTCAACTTCTCCAGAATGGAGTGCAACAAAAATACTAATTTCCCCAGATAATTTCAAAGGAAAACAATAAAAATGATCTTACACATTACCTTTGCAAGGTGAATATTTATTTCATGCAAATGAATGATTTTCATCTTGTAAAACAATAAAGTATTTCAACCATCTACATTTATAACAAAGAAAAGAGAGCAGTTTCTATTTTTGAAACTGGTAAAGAAAACATAAATTAGTTATCCATTAGTTATCCATGTGTCTAAATAGCTTTTGTTGTTATAGATTTAGCTACCAAGACACATATAACTTATACCAGTAATATTGTGTGAATAGAAATAAATAGCACAGAATACTAATAGGAAAGAAAAAAGAAATGTACAAATCTTAACAGCTACATTCTGGTTTCTTTGCTCTGTGCTTTGATGGAATGAGCATGTGACATCTTTATAACCTGAGTGTGATACGTATTTTAAGAACAAACATTTGCATGATGTTACAGATAAGAATAAATGTGGTTATCCATGCTAAGGCTGTTGTTTGAAGGCAGAAAGCTAATGAGTTTTGCTGTACTTAATTTAAACTTTAAGTCTTACACATTGTCATTGTTTCTACCACTATTATGTAAAAAAAAATCATAATTTCTACTTTGTACTTTAAATTGTTATGTCCATAACTAGAATTCAGAGACAATTATCAATAGTTCACCTTGCCTACAAAACATCTTTAATTCCTGAAAACAATACACTTTTTTTTAAGCAATGGGAAATTATTGAGTAAGGAAAGACATATTTTCTTTGTATTCTGAATTCGATGGAAACAGTGTTGTTGGTGAGTACAAAGACGTGCCTTGGTCTGTGAGTTTTGGGGCACAGATGAAAGTGAAAGGGAGTGTGTCACACCAAATTGAGGGCGAAAATTACAAAGGTGGGCTAATTCAATTCCCCACACAGGGCATATGCGTGATGGCATTACTCACACTTACTGGGCCTAGCCCACAACTCCACTAGAAAAACAATGTTTGGCCAACTGAAAAGGTGCGCAGAAAGCTGTGCCACTTGACCTTGGCTCTCATTGGCCAAAAGGTTGTATTTCAAGATAGAAGATGGGGTAGGAAAAGTAAATACAGCTGTGTTTCCTCCAAGCCCGTGTGAGAATGCGAGGAGCCATTTAAGTCCTTTCTCGGTGTTCACTCAGGGACCCAAAGAGCATGCTATTATTTCCACGGCTGACTCAGAACACTAGTTTTACATGAGAGTGAAATCAACAAGGTGGAGGGGCTGGGAGATAACTATTCCAGGACTCTGGGGATCCCACGAGTACAAAGTGCAGCGTACTCAAGTACATGGGAGTAAGGTAGCAAGAGTCTCAAAGGAGGTTAACATAAATGGTGTCTCTTGCTTACTTTTGATGGTCAGTTCTAAACACGTTTGACTGTGGGGCATTT